CTTTGCTGCTGTCTCTTCGCCACACCACTGCCATGTGCCACTTTCAGTTTTTTTTGTTTTTCTTCACACAGTTGCTGGTGGTGTCAGGAATTTTTTGACCATAGGGTGCTGGCAGATTACGGGCCTCCCCATTGCTGCTGCCACTAGGCCGTAATATGCTTAGGCCCCTGTATACCGCACGCTGACTCTCATGCTGCTGCCAGGTCCGTTAAGTCTTGTCATGGGTCCTGTACGGCCTCCCATTGCTGCTGTCTCCATCGCCACATCTGCCATGTGCCACTTTCAGGTCTCCTCAACACACTGCTGGTGTTGTTGAATTTTTTTTGAATAGGGTGCTGGCAGATTACGGGCCTCCCATTGCTGCTGCTCGTTCCAGGCCCCTAATCTGCCATGGGGTCTGTAGGGCCCCATTGGCTGTCTCATCGCTCTCTCACTGTGCTGTGCAGGTCCAGATGTCTCATGGGTCCCTGTACGGCCTCCCATGCTGCTGTCTCCATCGCCACACTCTGCCATGTGCCACTTTCAGGTCTCCTCACACACTGCTGGGTGTGTTGAATTTTTTGACATAGGGGTGCTGGCAGATTACGGGCCTCCTATAGCTGCTGCCAGGCCCCTAATCTGCCATAGGCCCCTATATATACCGCCTCCTCATGCTGCTGCCAGGTCCAGAGTCTCTCATGGGTCCCTGTACGGCCTCCATTGCTGCTGTCTCCATCGCCACACTCTGCCATGTGCCACTTTCAGGTCTCCTCACACTGCTGGTGTGTTCCATTTTTTGTCATAGGGTGCTGGCAGGATTACGGGCCTCCCATTGCTGCTGCCAGGCCCCTAATCTGCCATGGGCCCCTATACCGACTCCTCATGCTGTGACGTTGCAACAAGGTGGAATTCAACCCTACATATGTTAGACCGCCTTTACGAACTGCAAAAGGCCATCACAGATTTCCTGATGTTAAAAGCATGATAAAGGTACTCCCTGCCATTGGCAGCTCATGCGTGACACCTGCGCTTGCTCAGGCCCTTTGAGGAGGCCACGCTATTCGTGAGTCGGCAGGACTATGGGATGAACGACGTCATTCCTCTGTTGCACGTCCTGGAACAAATGCTGTTAACAATGGTCTGGTCAGGGTGCGGTAGACGTGGCGCACAGATCTCAACGCCACATGGCCCCTGTGGGGGCAGGACTGGAAGAAGAGGAGGAGGTAGAGGAGGACATTGGTGCTCAGGAATTATTGAGTGAAATGGGTGGTTTTTCCACTCAGCGGACAGGAGTGGAGGAGCAGGAGCATCTGGTAGAGGAGGAGGAAGAGGAGACAGAGGGACCTAGACGCACCGTGGCAGTATGCTGTGGAGATGGAGGCAGGGAGTCCCTCGCATTCCTTGGCACAAATGGCCCATAGCATGCTCGGTTGCTTGCGTAGCGACAGCGTCCGAATAATAACCATCAGACAGAGGGATGACTTTTGGCTGTCCACCTTGTTGGACCCTCGCTACCGTTCAAAAATGGTGGCCTTTTTCACACCTGCTGAGAGGGAGGCCAAAATAACGTACTATAAAAACACCTATGTAGTCAGCTGGTCTCTGCCTGTCTGCGCCAACGTCCATCCTCAGACACTGTGGGCCCTGTGCGCTCGTGTTCCGCTGCCATGGCAGCAGGGGAGGGGTGGGGGTGGTAGGAGCAGTGGCAGCTCCACCAGCAGCGGCTGCCTCAGTCTGCAGTCGATGATGAGTAGCTTTCTTCACCAGCGCAGTGAGGAAACTACTAACCAGCCGCAGCAGCAGCAGCAGCAGCATCAGGTGGACCTGGAGCAGGACCTCAAAACAACAGGCTTAGGCCTACTTGGACAGCACCCTGCCAACCGAGGTAGACAATCCCCTTGACTACTGGGCAACGAAACTTGACCTTTGGCCCCAACTAGCTGAATTTGCCCTTGAAAGGCTGTCATGCCCGGCCAGTAGCGTGGCATCGGAGCGCGTGTTTAGTGCGGGCAGGAGGTATTGCAACTCCGCGGAGGACACGGACTGTCCACCCAAAGTGTGGAGAGACTCACGTTTGTGAAAATGAATCAGGCGTGGATTAGTCTGGATTTCAAACCACCAGTTCCTGACACAACTGACTAAATCCGCCATGAATCATGCCCCAAACATGTGCCACTTTCAGGTCTCCTCACACTGCTGGTGTGTTCCATTTTTTGTCATAGGGTGCTGGCAGATTACGGGCCTCCCATAGCTGCTGCCAGGCCCCTAATCTGCCATGGGCCCCTATACCGCCTCCTCATGCTGCTGCCAAGTCCAGAGTCTCTCATGGGTCCCTGTACGGCCTCCCATTGCTGCTGCCTCCATCGCCACACTCTGCCATGTGCCACTTTCAGGTCTCCTCACACTGCTGGTGTGTTCCATTTTTTGTCATAGGGTGCTGGCAGATTACGGGCCTCCCATAGCTGCTGCCAGGCCCCTAATCTGCCATGGGCCCCTATACCGCCTCCTCATGCTGCTGCCAGGTCCAGAGTCTCTCATGGGTCCCTGTACGGCCTCCCATTGCTGCTGTCTCCATCGCCACACTCTGCCATGTGCCACTTTCAGGTCTCCTCACACTGCTGGTGGGTTCCATTTTTTGTCATAGGGTGCTGGCAGATTACGGGCCTCCCATAGCTGCTGCCAGGCCCGTAATCTGCCATGGGCCCCCGTACCGACTCCTCATGCTGCTGCCAGGCCCGTAATCTGTCATGGGCCACTGTTGTCGCTTGTTGGCATATTCCGCTCGTTCAGATGCTCCTTCTCCTGCTACTCCTCTTCACGGATTCCGTCAGCAGTCTTTCTTGGAATCCGTTTCCAAGAGACAACAGTTTGCGAGCACGCACCCGACGGTGCAGAAGCTGAACGTCCTCCTGTCCAAGTTGCTGCTGCCAGGCTCGTAATCTGTCATGCGCCCCTGTACCGCCTCCTCATGCTGCTGCCAGGTCCAGAGTGTGTCATGGGCCCCCGTACCGACTCCTCATGCTGCTGCCAGGCCCGTAATCTGTCATGGGCCCCTGTACCGCCTCCCCATGCTGCTGCCAGGTCCAGAGTGTGTCATGGGTCCCTGTACGGCCTCCCATTGCTGCTGCCAGGCCCGTAATCTGCCATGGGCCCCTGTACCGACTCCTCATGCTGCTGCCAGGCCCGTAATCTGTCATGGGCCCCTGTACCGCCTCCTCATGCTGCTGCCAGGTCCAGAGTGTGTCATGGGTCCCTGTACGGCCTCCCATTGCTGCTGTCTCTATCGCCACACTCTGCCATGTGCCACTTTCAGGTCTCCTCACACTGCTGGTGGTTTCCATTTTTGTCATAGGGTGCTGTATGGCCTCCCATTGCTGCTGCCTCCACCGCCACACTGTGGCTCCACACTCTGGTTTTGGCCCCGTGACTGCCCAAATGAGTGAAGTGTGCGGTGATTCTAAGATCGACGGCACTCATCTGCATGTCATACTGACTGACAGTATTATTTCTCTTCCCCAGCAGACTCCAAGGGCATTTAAATTAAAGGTACAGTGTTCTGCACTAATATTAAGTCTCTCTGAAGCCTAGAAACACCCTTTTTTAAGTTAAATTCACAGCGAATTTATTCGACTCGAATCGAATATTGTCCACGAATTCGCCGAATCAGTCGAATCGAATTTTTCATTTCTTCGCTCATCTCTAATTGATATACTTAACACTGTGATTGATTTATAGATACTGCATACCTTTACTTTATTCCCTGAAGAAGGAATTTTTCCGAAGTGCTTTGGGTTTTGTCCTGATGTTTCTACTAAAATTCAAGTCACGATATGCATATTACAATTTTTTATGTACTATGGACAAATGGGGTTTTAAATATTCGTCAGCCTTTTATTGAAATATATACAATTTTCTTATCTGCCTTAAAAGTCCCATGGAGATCTTGTATGATAATTTTCAGCTACGTTAGTGTTGTTGGTAGAAAGATATATCACCCACCCATTCTTTCTATTACAATTTTAAGGGTTCATAGGACAATTACTGGATTTTTCTTCAAATGATCATTGATAGTGTCACCGTTAGCAGTGCATTACCAATTGATGAAACAAAAGTCTGGTGCTGGATGTATTTGTGATAAAGCAATGCAAATTTGACAGGTGTTCAAACTCTTCAAAACTGGATTTTTGATATCTTCAGATTCAGCATTTTTACTCCACACATTATTCCTTGACACATGTCTTTCCCCCTTCCTTATATGAAAACAAATTGTCAAGATACTTATTATTATTATTATTAATAATAATAATAATAATAATAATAATAATAAGATACTCCAAGAGCAAAGGTCTCATTTTAGACCTTTACAACTATATGACTGGTGCAGATTCCCAGATAAAATTCCCCTATATGGATAAATGGGAGGTAGACTGTGAATCTTAGTTTATAGCGGAGGAATGAGATGAATGTTTAACCTCCATAAATGTACTAGGTCCCTTACTGTCCAGGCAAATTCAATGAAACTGCTTACTGGGTGTTACTTAACCCTGATAAAACATCATGACATATTTCCTGCTGTATCCCTTACTTGTTTAGAGTTTGTTCCTCTCCCGAATTTCTCTTGCATAATTTCTGGCTCTGTGAGAAGCTACACCAGAGTTTTCTTCAGTGATAGTAGGTAGGCCTATTGGGCTCACAATAGACAATAGACAATCTACCTCTCCACCCCTCACCTCACCCCCACATTCTCCGCCCGCATCACTCACCTCCTAAACGACATCTCAGACTGGATGTCACTCCATTTCCTCAAGCTTAACCTCTCCAAAACCGAGCTCCTCGTCTTTCCCCCTGCCCAACCCCCCACCCCCCCCATCCTATTTATCACTACCAACAACACCACTATCAATACCGCTCCGCAAGCCAAAGTCCTTGGCGTCATTCTGGACTCAAACCTTTCCTTCCAACCTCATGTCAAATCACTCACAAACACATGCAGGCTCCACCTCCGCAACATCGCCAAGATACGCTCCTTCCTTACCCCAGAACCCACTAAACTACTCGTACACTCCCTGATTATCTCACGCCTTGACTACTGCAACTCCCTTCTAACTGGCCTACCCCACCGCAGGCTCTCCCCACTTCAGACCATCCTGAACTCAGCGGCTAGACTCATCCACCTCACCAACCGCTCCACCTCTGCCACCCCCCTCTGCCTATCCCTCCACTGGCTCCCGGTTGCCCAACGCATCAAATTTAAACTACTAACTCTGACCTACAAAGCCATCCACAATACTGCCCCTAACTACCTAACCGACCTGATACCCAAATACCACCCTACCCGTACCCTTCGCTCCTTACAGGACCTCCTTCTATCTTGCTCCCTGGTCTCCTCCTCCCACGCACGACTGCAAGACTTCTCCAGGTCCTCCCCCATCCTCTGGAACTCACTACCCAAATCCATCAGACTGTCACCTTCCCTCCTCACCTTCAGGCGCTCCCTCAAAACCCACCTCTTCAGGGAAGCCTACCCCACCCTCACCTAACAGCCGTTCCCCTTCATTCCTCCCACTACTCCATCCCCCACAGCCACTTCCTCCTGTACCACTACCCCCTCCCTCCTAGATTGTAAGCTCGAAAGATTAGGGCCCTCTAACCCGTCATGTGCTGTTTGTTGTTGCTGTACTGTTTCATGTATTGTCCCCCCCCCTATTGTACAGCCCTGAGCAAACCCTTTGGCGCTATATAAACTCAATGTAATAATAATAATAATAATACTCCTTGCTTCAAATTTCGGACATACCT